TAGAGCCATGCTCATAACATATTTAATACTGACTATTTATACAAGTGGCAGTTCAGACCTCAATGACTTAATCATGAGGAATATAGACAAGTTTTATGAAAATTACCAAATGCAGATTAGTGCAATGCAAACATAAGTGTCATGAATTTTCAAAAGAAAGAAAGAAGTACTGGGTGGTACCTTTAAACCATGCCAGGTCTAAGATGTAGGAGTAAGGGAGGGAGGGGAGACATCTTCCCTAATATATGGGGAATACCCAGGACTTTATAAGAAAATTCTTCCCTCCAACTTCAGCTTAAATGTAAGCCCCCCCAAAGACCTGGAGATAACTACTGAGAGTTGTAAATGGGATCTTGGTAGGAGCCCCTAATTTTCTACAAAAATGATGAGGCCTACAGAAACTCCCAGGTACTAATGCTGCTCCAATGCTAGCTGTTTAGGATCTAACTTGAGTGAAGAAATGACCAGGGACTAGAACATAGGGGAAAAAAATCTAAAAACAATTTCTCCTTCCTTTCAACTCCCATAACATTATGTTTGTACTTCTCTTGTAGCACTTATTACATTTTGCCTCCTTCTATTGTTTTGTTTTGTTTTTGGTCCAGATCCAATGATTTAGTTGGTATGATGAAATATCCTATCCCTGTGCAGATCAGAAATTCATCTAAAACATTACAGTCTCAGAAAGTTACTTAAGGGCACTGAGAGGTTATGGCTGGTCCACACTCATATAGCCAGTATGTGACAAAGGTAAAACTTGAATTGAGGCCTTCCTAGGTGGTGCAAATGGAGAGCTCTTTGGGGCTTGGAGTTGAGAAGGTCTGAGTTCAAATTTGACCATGAATACTCACTACTTTTGTGACCCTAGACAACCTCTATCTGCTTCAGTTTCTTCAACTGTACAATGCTGTTGTGAGGATCAAATGAGATAATATTTGTAAAGTGCTTATCACATTGCCTGGCACATAGTAGGTGCTTAATTCCCATTCCATCTCAACTTGTTTCCACTTTAACTATCCCATTACATCCAACCACTCTAAATCAATAAATCAATCAATATGGTACTCACTACCAAGGTTTCTACTAAATCCAAAGCACTGTTTCTCTTTAATAATAATACCTAACATTTAAACAACACTTTAAGGTTTGAAAAGTGCTTTACATATACATCTCATTTGATCCTTATAATAGCTCTTGGAAGTATGCACTATTATTATCATTTCCATTTTATTGATGAGGAAACTGAAGCTAAGAGAGGTAAGTAACTTGCCTAGAGTCACACAGCCAATAAGTTTTGGAGGCAGGATTTGAATTCAGGTTTTCCTGACTCCAAGTCTCAGCACCTTATCTACTACTCCACCTGGCTGCCTCAAGCTGTATTTATGACCCTATTTAACTCTAAAGTCCAAGTAAGACTTAAATTAATAAAGCAATTTGCATAATGGACACATTTTAAAAATGAATATGAATTATTTGTCATACTTATCTTCTTGGATTGGTTAGAACTAGATTGCAATTGCCCATGGGGAAGAAGCTATGCATCTTTGTTTTCAAATTAGTATATAAGTTAAAACTGGCTTTGAACACATTACCATTCATGGTATAAAATTAATAATGATACTGATAGTCATTCTGATATTATGATCAACTTTACAAATTATCATTTAAATTTACTTGAAAATTTTAGGTGTGAAAGGTGAATGGGGCAGAAAGTTTCTTTCCTCTGTGAGAGATAAGGACATTTGTGAAGTAACTCTCCAACCAACAAAATACATATGTTTGTCTTCTAACTGTGACTAAAAGCTTCATGAAATATTGGTGAGGTTTGCCCAAGTAATTCACCCATTAGATAGTAAAGAAGACATATATTCAGTAGAGAAAAATATACAATTTACTTTGTATCATACTTGAATCTTTTTATAATTAAACTCTAAAGATAAACTGGTTTGTATTTTCTTCATTCAGTCAATCAACAAATGTTTATTAATCACCTACCACTTGCAAGGTTTTGCTTTTCTCTTTGAAATCCCTATGGGAGTTTCACAGATGAATAAGATACAGTCTCTCCCATTTAGGAGTCAATAATCTATTAAAGCAGTTTCATAAAAAAATAGCTTGTGTCTTTGTAGGGTTAATACCCATACCTAAAAAATGACACATAAGACAAATGGAAATAGATATATTAATAAAGATTTTCTCTGTTCACAAAAATATAAAGGGCTTTCTGTCACTGAGGAGAAATACGGGAGGGGCTGGCCACTTTGCAAGCCAGAGGGGGTGTGAAATTAAGGTCCTTTCATGATGATCTCATTTTTAAATGCAAAGAGAGTGACAAATTAAAGCCACCACATAATGCATGTCCCTTGGGTTCCTGGTACACTGATAGGAGCCTTTTTCTGGGCAACGGAACAAGTTAAAGCAAGCGGTGGGGGGAAGGGTTTGGGGCAGGGAAGTTACAGTCCTAAAGGGTTGCTAACTTCACTGGAGAGATGGATACAGAGACAGAGATAGATGTGCAACAGAATTAGAAACAGCAACATAGTAACAAATAGAGATTATGGGCAATAGATATACAAAGTCCTTTTTATAAGTCCATCTTTATTACTCCAAAAGATTATTTTCCTCATTGTATGCAGATTCATATAAAGTAAAGTCAAGAATATAATTTTCATAGAGTTTTAAAACTGGAAAGGCCCTTAGAGATCATCAGTGAGTCTTGGATATGATTTTCTGGACTAAACAGCATTAGCTGAAGCCAGGCATTAGCACAGTGAGACATCAGGAAAGCTTGGTTCCCCTCTTCCTTCCTCCCTGCCCCCCACTACTGGCGGGGGTGAGGGTGACAGGTCTGCCATCTCAGGGCTGTATCTCAGTGCTTATTGACCTGTCGAACACTCTGCTATTTCAGGACCACGTTAAGCTAAAACACCTCAGTCCTGATCCTGTACACACATTTCCTGGTTATTACAATTCTTAGACTCTTTAGAGATTATTGTACCAACTCTCTGAAACTTCTAAAAACTTCCATTAATGAAGATACAAATCCAGAGGTTCTCAAAATGTGTCCAAGGAACCCATGGGGGTCCCCAAGACCCTTTCAGAGGATCTGAAAGGTCAAAACTATTTTCATAATAATGCTAAGATAATTTCATTTCTAATATAGTAAATATGGATAGATATAGCCCCCATACCAGTTTGGGGAAAGATCCTTAATTTAAGAGTATAAAGGAGCACTGAGAACAAAATATTTGAGAAATGCTATATAAATCTTATCCCACCCATCTCCTAAATCTGTGTTCAGTTGTGAACAAAACTTCAATCTCCCACTCTCTCAATATACACATAATACACACACATTTACATACACATGTGTATATATATATGTGAGAGATGATATTTATGTTTATACATGTATGCATATGTATGTATACATATCTACATATATGTGTGTGTGTGTATATATATATGTAGCCTGGGCTGAGAGTTGCCTCGGGCACTGTGAGATTGATTGACTTGCCTAGAATCAAAGCAAGTCTTAAGTGGAAGTTTGGTTGTCTCATATATGTCTGTTCAGTTATTTTTCAGTCATGTCTGACTCTTCATGACTCCATTTTGGGTATTCTTGGCAAAGATACTAGAGTGGTTGGTTTCCTTCTCCAGATCATTGTACAGATGAGGCAAACAGGGTTAAGTGATTTGTTAGAGATCACACAGCTAATAAGTGTCTGAGAGCACATTTGAACTCAGGTCTTCAGGCCCAGAGCTCTATTCACTGTGCCACCTAGCTGCCCCTGTCTTATACATAGCAGGACCTCATCATTTAGTTATCTAAGGGCACCTTACCCTTTCATTTTTGTATTTGGTTTAAATTCAATTCAGTCCAACACTTCTTTAGGTCCTGCTATGTATGAGACAATCAGATCTCCTTCCAAGACTTGTTTAGACCCAAGGCCAGTCACTCATAGTGCCCCAAGCAATTCTCTTACCATAAATTGTGGAATAGTTGTTCATCTGCTTTGTAGAAGGACAATCCTCCCCAAGAGCTTTCTATACTAAGGAAGTCATAGGTCCATTGTAGGGGAAGGCGGAGCAGGGAGATAAAGCGATGGGTTTTAAGATCCTTTATCCAAATAGAAGATATATATCTCAAATGAACAAAAGAGTAATCAGGTAACATTCAATGCACACAAAGTTCATTTTCAACCTCTCTTTTATTTACAATTATCCCTTCCACACTGCAGAGATTAGGGGCTGGGCACCCCTGGGATCTGGAAAATCCCCATAAAAATTTTTGGCCCTGTCTTTGTACCAGAGAAGTCTGATTTTTTTTTTTCTTTTTCTCTTATAGGGTGTTTACAGTTTCTGATTGTAATTGTAAAATCTGGGAACATTTATGGTATTAAAAGATAAAATATACTGATATTATACAATACTATACATATATTTTGTGCATTTCTGAGTTTTAAACTTTTTCTGTGTCATCTGCAGCTTCCACAAAACTGCCCCCAAATTCCCATTTAATTTCTTAGGCCAACCTGCAAGATATATTGAAACCACAATAGGGAAAGTCACAATCATAAAAAAAAAAATCATACTTATTTTTGGCCAATGCTAAAGCTCCTATGGTCCTGGGGAAAAGTGTACACATGCATTTTACACCCCTGCACTCACATATAGGTATGGAAATGCAGTCAAACCTTAAAAAACTTCCATTCTCAACTGAAGCAGTTGAGAATGTTGTTCTTATGAAATATGAGATAATACTCCAAAATTAAAGCAGCATTCTTTGAGAGTAAATGTCTTTTCCCCTCCATCCCTCAAGCTGCATTGTACATTAATTAACAGATAGGATAATGAAAAAATCCAGACATATTCAAATTCTTTAAGTGCTGATTTTAATACAGGCTCATAGTCCAATTTTTACCAAGGCTGAGGGAAATGCATTTGATCTCAGACTTAATACTTTCTTCTCTTAGATGGGCATAATAAAAGTTACTTACCACAGAGTGATGTTGTGAAGAAAAACCAGTTAATGTTGTTGAAGCATCCTGAAATGAAAAATGTTTTGATAAGTGTTATGCAAGTATTAACTTTAACAAGTAGAGGTTAAAATGGCAAGAATGAAAGTCATACTTTTATTTCTCAATTTGGGACACTGGCTTCGGCTGTGCTATAGCAAGCAAAGGTTGCTTCCGCTTAGAAGGGAAAACACAGCTGGGGACACAGAAATGACTTGGCTCCTTTAGCTGCCTCTATGTTTAACTTTAAAAACTGTAACCAGTTGCAACCAGTTGTGAATGCCTTGCTATCCCTCTATGCAATTCCTTGTAACCTGAGTTGAGAAAGTTTTGTTTTATGGTTAATTATCCATGGTCTATTTAAAAAAATAAATCAAACCATTGTGAACCACCGGGATTTGCAGCTCCATTTGAACTTTACTGTACTTTTGATTAAACATTTTATAAATAAAAACAAACTGGTTTTCTTTTTGTTGTTGGTTGTTTGTTACTTGTGCTCTCGATATAAATATTATGGCAATCATGGCAGAACAAGTTATGGATTATTTACCCCTGGTTTCATAAGTTGTGAGTTACCGGTGTTATATGCCTCCATGAGGATAAATGAACGTAGAGTATCATATTCCAACTAAACGTAAGAGAAGCAGAACAAGGGAAGTGAAACCTTTTAAAACCAAGACCTTTTATTCAGTCACAGAGCAACAAAACAACCCCAAAACTAACATTTAAAATACTCCTTCTGGGGAGAAGCAAAATTCCTAAATATCATAATCTGAATAAAAATTTTGCTTGCCTAACAAGCAGAGGTCCATCATGTAGAAGTTTTTTTTTCTTGTTTCTTTAACCAAGAAGCCACAGGTAGGTCTTCATGGGACATCACAAATTGGTGACCTAAAAGTTGTCTGCTCGCTAAGTTGTACAAATATGCTATGAAAAGTGCATTTTTCTGTATAGCTAGCAGCAAACAGTTAGGTGGCATAGCAGATAAAGCACTTGATCTGGAGTCAGGAAGACCTGAATTCAAATCCTGCTCCTGACATTTAGGAGCTGTGTGACCCTGGACAAGTCACTTAACCTCTGCTACCACTTCTTCATCTAAAACACAGGGATAATAATAGCACCTACCTCACAGGGTTGTTGTGAGAATCAAATGAGATAGCAAATGTAAAGCTCTTTGTAAACGTATATAAATACAAGCTATTAATGGGAAGTAGGGATCCCTTAATAGAGTACTGGACTACCCTTCTCGAGGAGACCCAAGGACAAAGGATACCTTGAAGTATAATAATGGAGCAATATAACGTAAGGATGAAAGTATATTTTTAAACCAGGAGTACTATGAAATTTATAGTTTTCCATATGAAATTGGATGTGGATCACTGAAGCAGCTTCTTAGTCTTATGTTTTAAGTGTGAATTGTGTTTCAAAAACAAAAAACAAAAAACAAAAAAACAAAAAACTAGGTCTCCACAGCACTGACTGCTAAAGGATGGCTCAAAGGGAAAATGGGAAATAATCGTCTTAACTGTGTTACCTTTGGCACAGTACAAACAGGGAGGTACAGTAGCATCAACTGCCAGGAATAAGATGAGACAATGTGTCTACTCTATGGAACTGCTCTGGGAGATTACTGAGCTGAACAGAGATCTACCTTCATCGTCCTGCCTCAGCACAGACTCTTCTTGCACCGGAGCTTGCTTCTCTTCCCTCTTCTGTATTAAAGCTACACACAGAAGGTCCCTCACCAGCCACTAAACAAGTGCACCTTAAACAAGTCCCCCTTTAAGAGGTAAATCAGTAACTTTGGTAATGACGGTAGCATTGCAAGTATCTCTCTTAGCTTCCAGCAGTACCCAAACAACTGGACTGTTAAGAATTGTGGAAGCCTCAAGGGAAAGAGAAACAATTAAAACTGTCCCTAATATCTTTCTTGCCCTGGCAACGCTAATCTGTGGCCCTCTAGCCATTTCTATTGCAGCTAGTTATCTTTTGCCATTACAAAAGCTAAACTTGAAGCTGCCTAATGTTCCCAGGGCTGCTTCTGCAATAGAAAATGAAAGCTAAAAGTGATGGGTTGGCCACAAATGGAAGTTAAAAAGGCAACTTGAGCTCACAAACAGGGACTGGAATGTGCACAAGTACTAACCGATGAAAAGGAAAGATGTTACAGGGTAGGATAGAAAAAATGGCTAAATTCTTTTTTAAAAAAGATTGTCTTCTAAACAGCTGTTTCCACTACTTCTGACAACTAAAAGAAACGTCTAGAGGTAGCATGGCATGTGTAGTAGACGCAGTTGACCTCAGAAGGCCTGGGACAGGGAGACATGAATTTAAGCTCCAACTTCTGAAGAACAGGGACTATTAAACTGAGCAAATTATTTCATCTCTCATTGCCAGTTGCCCCCCAGCCCACCCCTGCAAGTTGCTAAGACTATAAGTTGCAGAACAGTCAATGATCTGCTTTCACAGAGAAAGCTTTTACACTAGAAGTTCTCTGTATTAATGAAATCACTGATACAGACTAACATGAGGGAGAGATGGAGGAAAGAAGAGAGAGAAGGGAAGTGGGAGAAATAAAGAGAAGAGGGGAGGAGAAAGAGACAGGGGAAAGGGAGAGGGAGAGAAAGAGGCATGGCCCACTATTCACTAAATATTCTTAAATCTTCTTTGCAATACACATATATTAAAATTAGAGCAGATAATTTAACTGCAGGACTCCTCTGGGGTTACATGATTGAAGGAGAATACAAGCCTCTAGAGCATCTAAGGGTAAGTGAAATCAGTACCAACTATGTGTATGTCTGTATAAATATGTGTGTATATTTGTTGTAGAACATAAATTTGCTACAACAGAAATAAAAATATTCCTAATATCTTACACACATGTGTATAATCATATGTATATTTACACTAAGCTTTCACAAACTCTCCCTCTCTCTCTTTCTCTCTCTCTCTCTTCCCTGTTCCGCCCTGTGTTCTGGAATACTTCAGTATAATAACTGGTGAGGAACGTTAAAAAAAATACACACACACACACACACACACACACACACACACATATACATACACACACACACGTACTTGAGGACATAATGTCCTAGGTAGCACTGGATTACTGGATTACTCTAACCAAGTTTCAAAATTTTTCCAGAAACAAATGTATCTGGCCCTTAAATATTGTTACCAAGAGACTAAAACATCACCACCCAAACTAATATCAACAAGACAATGACGACAAAAAGCTGGAAGAAAACACGTTCGTTAAATGCTATCTGATGCTTTTATTTGATTATTCAGTTCTAAATATGTTAAGAATATGTTCTTTTGACATCTTCAATGTGTAAAAATCGATGGCACCAACGTCTTTCATCACTTTTAGAGAACTGCTTGTCTAAAAGTAGGTCCAAACTCCTCTGGATTCACCTCAGCATCATATAGCTGAAAATAAAACCACATTTATCCTGTTTTCAGTATGAAACAAGATCCTAAAATAAAATTGCTTTCTTTAAACTTCAGATTCCACAGAAAGATCAAAAGGAATGTAAAATTGCCTGAAATGTACAAAAAGTAACACATATTTTATACACACACACACACACACACACATATAAATAATGTATGTATATATAGAGAGAGAATGAGAATGAAGTACAAGAGATCATCAACTTGAGTGCTGGGTTGGTAGCCATGGAATTTAACAAGACCTAGAAGGAAGGCCTCCAGCATGTTAAGTGGATCCCCTGAGGAGGGTCCATAAAAGAGCATGGACAAGAATCTTCCAGGATGATAAAGGGAATGACTGTATCAATGAGATCAAAGATCCACTCCCAGACTAAAATATCAAGGAATAAAAGGTTAACCTAAAATTTTCACAGTGAAACTATACAACTAACTTCCTAGGTTTTAAAATGAAGGGGGGGGGGCAGCTAGGTGGCGCAGTGGATAGAGCACCGGCCATGAAGTCAGGAGGACCCGAGTTCAAATCAGGCCTCAGACACATAACACTCACTAGCTGTGTGACCCTGAGCAAGTCACTTAACCCCATTGCCTAGCCAAAAAAAAAAATACATATAAAATGAAGGAGACCTGGGCGTAGTGATATATGCTGGTAGCCTTGGTTCTGGGGAGGCCAAGGCTGGTGGATTGCTTGAGCCTAGGAGTTCTGAGCTTCAGGAGGCTAAAACAAATTTATTGTCTACACTACATCTGGCACTAGTATTATAAGCCTCTGGAAGCACAGGCCAGGAGGCCGCCAAAGGAGGGGAAAACTGGCCCAGGTGGGGGAAAAAAGAGTATATCAAAGTTTCTGTGCATATCATTATTTGGATAGGGCCCATGAGTGACCAGTACACTTCCAGCCTGGGTGAAGGGAAACCTGGTCTCACAAATAAAATAAAATAAAATAACAAAATAAAGTGAGGAAGAAAAGGTTGGCATAAGAGGATGAAATGGACCCCCAAATACAAAAAGATGAGATACCTTAATATTTCCAGGAATTTGAGTGATCCAATTCATCTATTCTCTTTGTCACGGTTTCCTTTCTTTCCTTTTGCTAACCCATTAGAAAACCCCACTCAATTTGGATCTTTATTTCTTTCAGCAGATGTAACATAGTTTCTGCAGATATGGTCTTTCTCATTTTCTATCCATTTGACAGGCAGAAACTTTTTTTTAAAGAACTCCCTTATCAGACAGATTTCTAGGTCCCTGTGGACATCAGTCAGTTAACTGAAACGAAATATTATAACAGGAAAGAAAGGCAGATAAACATGGGTCCAGAACAGCATACAAATTTCATTGTTTCCATTTGAATTGTAAAGGGAGTTACTACAGTGAGAAATGGGAGTTAGGGGTGGGGTGGGCGACATCAGAGTAGCAAAGAAGGGGAGGAGATGATTTCTGTTGTCCATTCAAAGTTTAAAGAGGGGCACAATGTGTAGAAGTAGTACAGTGTAACAGAAAAATTCTCAATGAGTATTGCAGAAGCTACAGGATCTTTAATAGAACCATTGTTTAGGGGTGAAGTCAAT